AAAAAAAAAAAAAAGGTACTATCAAGCAATTATACTTGCACTAAACGATTTTAAAGCAAATTAGCGTATGACCATTATTCAGATATCATCATCTCCAAGGCCACTGTCCAAACTCCAAATGTTGTTGCTAATTAATTCTGGCTTAGGATTTATTCATCCAGTTTTCTGGGAAGCATAAAGGATTCACACCTTAACTTCTTTCAACATCAGCATATGCAAATTGAGAAAAAAGAAAAAAACAAATTCTGGATATAACACAATACACACCTAAAATTCCCTTAGTCAGTAGTAGACCACCTATATACAAAGTTTATTATTGCATCTAATCAGAATCCCTCTTATAAACAAAGAAAAAAAACACACATACTTTTTTCTGCAAATCACAACAAAGCTCACTCATCATCGACAGCCGAGCCCTGTACGCACGCGCAAAACCGCGTCTTATTACGCTTCTGCCCCTGGCCCGTCGTCCTTCCATACAGATAATCCTTCAGCAAAATCCTTCTTTTCCCTTCCCACATTCCATTCTTCCCATCCTTATTGACATCATCCATCTTCATCAAAACAAACTGCAGCCTCTGCACCTCCAGCTGTAGCCTCCCGATTTTCTCCGACATCCTCCGAGCATTCCTCGACACTCTCGTGGCACCCTCGTTCTCCAAGTCAAACGAGATTGACTTTTCTGAAGAAAACGACCTGTCATCAACGCTCTTCATCAGTCTCCCGTTCAGCTCCAACAGCTTCGTAACGGCCGAGTCGGCCTCCTCGAGCTGCCCCTTGAGAGCCTCGCACTCCACGACCGCTTTTCCCTTTTTACTCTTTTCAGTTGCCTCCAGCTTCCTCTTGAGGTCCTTCACAGTGATCTGGAGATTCACGAGCTTCTGCACGTCCGAGTCGAGCCTCTCCAGGACCCTCCGGTTGTTGTTGTTCCCATTCTTAAAAGACTCGTTCGACATTTCCAGCTTGTCCGCGGGTGGAAACGTACTTTTCTGTTTCTTGATTGATTCGAGACGGTGGAAGTCAACGGTTTCGGTTATTTTCTTCGACTTGCTGGGGCCATAGGACGAGCCATCGGATACCTGGTCGAGGACGATGTCTTTGGTAAGAAGGGTACTTTCGGCCTCGATGATCTCAGAAGTGGGCACGCGTCTGTTGCGACGGTAATGCCCGTTTTCGGACTGTAGGGACTCGAGTTGTTTTGTGGTGTCGAGTAGCTTGGAGTGGAGATTGGTGTTTTCTTGAAGCATTAGGTCCTTTAGTTCGGATGCTGCCTTTGTGATGGCTTGGAGCCTAACCGTTAGTTCGTGCAAGTCGGCAGCACCGCCACTTAGGTGCCGGGATTTATTAGTATCGTTGGCATCCTTGGCATACTGAGAAAAAAATCGTGCAAGACAAGTACATAGGCTTAAATTTGGAAATGGTGCAGCTAATGCTGTTAAATTAAACGAGTTTGGCTCGGCTCAGCTCAATCTCGAGGCTTTAACGAGCCGAGCTCGAGCTCGTTTAAAGCTCGTTTGGTTAAAAAGTCAAGCTCGGCTCAGCGCGATAAGGCTCGAAAAGAGAGTTTTTATATCATTTTCTATACTTCAGCTCGTCAAAGCTCGAGATCGGCTTGTTAATAGTCATAAACGAGCCGACCTTCAGCTCGACTTATGGCTCATTTATTTAACGAGACGAGCTCGGCTCGACTCGTTAAGGTCTCGAACTCGAGCTCGAGCACCCAAGCTTGAGCTTGGCTCGGCAGGCATTGGTGCAGCTAATAAACGAACGGGACGATTACAAGAAGGTTGACCGACAACTACCCTATCGAACTTTTTTAAATATTCTAATAACTAAGAAGGATGTCTAATCTAAACACAAGTTGTTCTTGGTAGTTAACTAACATCCTACAAAGATTAAATTTTACAAAAGGCTAGTAGAAGTCGTGTTGTGCTTGTGTCAATGAAGCATTTTTAGCGAGCTTAGTGTCAAGAAGTACCTGCAGATCCTCGTTCTCAGGATTCGGAAACTTGATATGTATATCAGTTTGGTTCTCAAGGGATGATATACATTCCTTCAACAAAAGAATCTCAGGAGCATATGCAGCCAATTGAGTTTTGAGCGCGTTATTTTGATCCATATAGCCAAGACACACATCATTTAGCTCACGGAACTTCTGCTCATAAAGAAGCTGACTGACCATTAAGCACTGCAATTTACCAAAAACATCTGCAGCTTGAATCTCCAACTCATTAATCTCATTCATCTTCTTTTGCAGTTCGGCACTAGAAATTTCTTCTTGGACTTTTTTCAACTCATGCTCATCTTGCAATTTCTGCAGATCAGCTTCCAGCTTCTGACTCGACTCAGTCAACAAATTATTCTCCTTCCTCAAATGTTCATTATCTGCGGATAGTTTGAGAATGTAACTCTCTTGGCAGCCACAAGCCGTCTTGACCTCATTGTAGTCCACTTTCAAACTTTCCACACTCTCGTTTAGCTCTTGTTTTTGTTTTTCAACAAGGATTATCTTTTCTTCTGCTTCTTGGAGTTGCAGTGCCATCTCATTCAACAACCTCTTACCATTTTCGATCTCAACACTCAACTGATCTCTGTCTGTGACAGCAAACTTAATCTCCTCCTCAGTTTTCTGTAGTCTCTCGTTGAGTTTAAGATTTTCAACTTTCGATTCTACCAACTTTTCCTCTGTTGAGCTCAACTTTCCCATTAGAGCAGCATTCGTATGGTGAAGTTTATTCCAATCATCCCGAATTTCTCTAAATACCACAGATTTCTCATCTGCAAAGAATTTGAAAATCAAGGTAAGGTTCTCTAAAGCTAACAATTTACTACACAGAACATAGTTTTCCTCTTCCAGGATATTATTCTTTCCCTCCAAATGCTGGATATGATCCATTAAGGATCTCTTCTCCAGTGCAGTTTCAGATTTCTCTCTATGCATGTCCACCAGCTTCACATTTAAACCCTCAACCCGACTTAACAGTGCTTCTTTCTCATGCTCTATTTTGTCTTTGACTGCCTCAAGACTTTTGGAATCGAGTATTAATTGCCTAATACATGCTACAAGAACCGACAATTCAACAGACGACCACAGATTTTCTTCATCGGATTTTCTGAGGGACTCTTTCAAAGTCTGAAGTTTATCAAACAACTGTCTGACATAAGACTGGTCTTGTTGAGCTTTATCCTCAAATGCACAGTTGTCTACAATGTCCAGAACTCCCAACAACTGACGATGTCCCACCCTCAGACTACTAACTTGATCCGTCAAAGATCTGATTTCAGATTGTTGCTCTGTATTCTTCTGCTCTAACACTGAAATCTTCTTCTCTGAGAAACTGGATTCTTCCAAGAGCTTCTGGTTCTTAACGAACAACGAGCAGTTATTTTCTTTCAGCGCCAGAACAGTTGTGCGCAAGACGAATATCTCGATTTCACTGCATATTACGTTGTCTAGCACTTGATCAAGTTCTATCTTTCTCTGTCGGCAGTCTTCTTGTAAAAGGCACACCTTAGCTTCAACTTCATTTAACTGCGTTTCGCTCATCTCAATGTATTTTGCATTTTCTCGCCTTTCTACGTCCAAAGACATATTCAATTCACCAACTTTTCTAAGAGTTGATTCTTTCTCTTTCTCCAGATTTATGCATCTCCCTTCAAGTTCCGCATAGAGTTCCCCGAGATGATCAAGCTCTGTCCGCGTGTTCTCCAGCTGAGAAACCAACCCATCTTTCTCACTCATCAGCCCAGACTTCTCCTCAACAAGCAACTGGCACGAATCTTCCAAGACTTTCGATTTAGCCATCAATGCTTCGAGCTGGTGGTGCACGTTGGAAAGCAAATTCTCTAGAACAGTGTTGTTCTTGGAGAGAGTCTCCAGATTCATGTTCGTCTCCTCGAATCGTGATGCAAGCATGAATTTCTCTTCAAGAAGAGTCGATTTCTCTTCCGAGAGCACTCGGCACGTGTTCTCCAGCTCTTCTATCTTTCCTCTTACGGCTTCCAGCTCAGCATTCAAATCCGAGAGCGAAGTTTCTAGGAGCAAATTCTTCGCAAGGAGCTGCTCGAAAACTGCCAGCTTCTCCAAGAGTGCTGCTTTTTCGCCACTCTCCCTCTGACAAGTCTCCTTCAGAAGAGAATTCTCATCCCACAGTTCCTTCACTGCCAGACCCAAGGATTCCGGGTTCAGGCCCACTGCATGCACCTGGTCCAAAACCGAGACATGCTTCCCATTCAGATCTTTCAGCTCTTCTTTCAGACAATATATTTCCTGCTGAAGCGCGTTCCTCTGGTCAAGCCGGAGCTCAACTTCTTCCTCAAGTTTCCCTTTGGATTGCATTAAGCTAGAAATCTCGTTCTGCATGTCTTTTATCGACAACACAGATGCTGCATTGAACTCGTCAAGCTGCTTGTTCTCCTCCTTAACCTTCACGACCTCATCCTGCAAAACCCGATTTTGGGACTCAGCAGCTGTCAGAAGCTGAGCCCTGTTATGAAGCTCGGAAGCCGTAGCTCTCAGCTCCTCCTGAGTCTGCGTGTGCAAATGCTGCAGAGTCTGGAAAGCAGTTTCAGCCTCCACAAATCGCAAACGTTCTTCTTGCACGCAAGCCCAAAGTCTCCCTAGTTCTTTCTGCTTTTCGGTAAGCTCTTGTGTTTGGGTCCCAAATTTCAGCATCAACAATTCAAGCTCGGTATTAAGGGACTGATTTGACCTTTCTAGCAGAAGACACTGTTCTTCGGCGCTTTTCAATTTCGAGACTCCAGTTTCGACCTCAACATTTAGGCGTTTGGCTTCCTCATTGGCGCCCACAAGTTTTTGCTCAAGATTTGAAATCATATCCAAACATTGTTGATACTGCTCGGCCGCAGCTTCTTTTTCTTCGGTCAGTTTGGATATGGTTTGCCTGAGAGTTTCAACTTCGGTTTCGGCTTTTCTGGCCCTCTCTTTTAATCTCGCGGCATCTTCCTCGGCAAGCCGTAACTTATTCTCCAGATTGGATATTGTCTCTAACGACTGCAGATATTGGTCGAGAGCGGCATCCTTCTCGGTGGCTAGCTTGTCAAGTTCGGCTTTCAGGGATTCGGTTTCGATTTCAGCAGTATTGGCTCTTTCATTGAGTTCATCAACGCTTTTTTGGTAGTCTTGAAGCTTCGACTCCTTTTCGGCTTCTAAAGTGGTGATTTTTTCCTTAAGGATGGCAACTTCATTTTCTACTTCCTTCGTATGATCGGTGAGCACTTTGAAATCCTCACGGGTATTGGAGATCACAGTTTCGAGCTGAGACAGTTTATCGAGAGACTGCTGGTACTGAACAAGGCCAGCTTCTTTCTCGGCTTCTAGTCTGGCAAGTGCTTCCTTTAACGATAAAATCTCCTGTGACTTGCTTTCCTTGTCAGACTTCGACGAATTTTTATCCTTGGTATAGCTATTCCCATTGCTCAGTTCTTTCTCCTCGGCCTCACTGAAATTGAGACCCCTTCTTACGCGCTCGACAGACCGGATAGGGTCGTTGAACTGCTTCAGAATCTTCTTTTCAGTGGTAGAATCAGACTCATCAGCGAATTCTCCAATCTGTTGACACCACAAGAATAGATCAAAACAGATGTATCTCTGATGATTGTAAAGGCTTAAAAATAATAATTATCTCTCATCAGCTCATAATAAGTGCTGCTTTGTCGACATTTTAAATTTCAAGGAAAATGCCATTTCTGAATCTACTGTTACACCACTTATAAATTGGTAAAAGTGTGTATAATGCACCATTTTCAAACTAACACTAATGTCTAAATTCATCTTGTTGCAAACCAACTCCTGTGATTAATTAACAGTATATCTGGATGGAGTAATTAGTAATTACAGTAACTTACGTGCTTTTAAATGACAAACAATTCTTTCGATTTCCACGTATTTTCATCAACTTAATAGCACAGCACTACTTCATCAAAATCCAAACACGACAAAGCATACAAGTATTTGAAGTTTCTTCTTTCTATTTCTAATCTTACCGACAAACGAAACAAAGCATTTGTTCTAATTCCCCACAACTCACTCACATCTAACTGACACGATAAAGGAAAAAAAATAAAAAATCGCCTCCTGCACAAGACACACATACCGGGGTCGATATATCAGGAGTCTTGGGATCAGCACTCGCTGGGGACTCGTCACCAAACATCAACGGCACTTGATTGGGGAAGGCCTCCGACATGGTGCGGTGGGCGTGCCTTATGACGCCCGTCGCATGATCATACCTCTCGGCCAGTGCTCGGTAAGCCCTATAGAACTCCTCCACCATTTTCATCAGCTCCGGTCTCTTCTTATAATACATTTCGGCCCTCCTTGCAAAAGAATCAGCATCTTCCTCAATCAGCTTTATCATTGACTTTACTTTGGAATCCATATCTGCAAAAACACAAAAAGAACAAGATTTTTTTTTTTCCCGCCACAGAATCTCACAACAAGTACAGACAGTAACTCATTACAATGGAAAGGAATGGGCCTTAGATGCTATGAAACCGAATAGATAAATTTTGCCTCATTAAAATGACATTCATGGTAGTTAGGGTCGACCTGAAACCACTGAAGTTTGCAAGATTTTGAAATAAAATAATAGTAGCAATTTTTGGGCAGTCATAAAAGCACACTTAACCACACAAGTACATTCAAAAGAGGAAATGTGATAACAGTGAGTTTTCGTGAGAACGTGATTCCATCCGGAAAAGAAATTATTTACCTGTGAGATTTTCCTGGAGCCATTTCGAGTTTTTCGGGCTAATATGGCTGTCCCACCACCAGGAATACATTCGTCTAGAATCCGTATGCGATAACTTTGCCATCTCTTTAGCGGTTGAAGCAAAATAATTTCAATCCAATCCCCCCAGAATCGAAAAAATAAAACAAAAATAAATAATTGGGAGAACTCAATTCAGTATTAATATTCAGAATTGAGCTTCAAATCTCCAAGTCTCTGCACCTGCCAATACAGTATAAAGGAATTAAGAAGAAGTTCCAGAACAATAAGATCACATTAAGTAATGTTAGCGAAAAAAATCACGTCTCGAATAATTCAACAGAAAGCAGCAGCCACAGGCCCACAACAGCGAAATTCATCGAATCCACCTAGCTAAGATCACATTACATGAACACTCGCAAATGAAAAATGGAACAAAGATAGAGTAATAATCTCTCTTTTTTTTTTTTTATCAAACAAAATATTGTTGTAGCCATGAAAAGA